CAGCGACAGAGCAGTCACTGATGTGGTAAATACTTGGGGGACCGTTCTGCCCTCTGGGATGTGTGTGCGGCTGTTACAGCCCAGTCATGGGGGACCATTCTGCCCTCTGGGATATGTGTGCGGCTGTTACAGCCCAGTCATGGGGGACCGTTCTTCCCTCTGGGATGTGTGCGGCTGTTACAGCCCAGTCAGTGGCTGAGCAGGAGGCAGCACGGCGCTCGGAGTCTCGCTATCTGTACCCGCTGTGTCTTAACTTGAAAAGCGTGTGGTTTTAACAAAGACAAGGTTTTCTTAAGATATGACTGTGAGCCTAAAACACAGAAGCCCACTCATTTCAGTAACTTTAATATGCTCTCTCTAAAACCTTCACCCCAAACCTTTACTCTAAAGATTGATCATTAAGGAGGGAAGAGGTTTGAGACACGGTCTCAGTGTGTAGTGCAGGCTACCCATGACCACATGCACAGGCTAACCCCATACCTGCAGTGGTCCTGCTGTATTGTCTTCCTGAGTACTAGTGTTGCACAGATACGTCATATGCTCAGGTCATGCCTCTGCCTTCGCTGCTGTGCATTAAATTTGTGATTCTGTTTTGTGTTAAGAAAAATATTTGCCAGTTTTGAAAGATTTTTCATACTTTTGGTTATCTTAAACTGTTTACATTATCACGTAGTTTTTATGCCACCTAGTTATAATTTTCTTGAAGTTAAAGTCAGTAAATGCTCATCAGTTTTTTATTGTCTGATTCTTTGCAGCAAGTTTTAATTGATTTTTTTCCCCTTTAAATCACAGAAAGCATGCAGGAAGATTTCTGGCGCACCTGAAATTGACGGGGAAGTCACTTCGCTTCACTTAGATTATTTAAAATGTCCTTCATTTGTGGAAAGCAGTTAGATTTTGAACATATTATTTCTAATAACATTTCTGTGGTTTTTAACTTTTTAATGAATATCACATAGGACAAGTGCTAATTTGTATATAAAGAATTGGTAAAAGATTTGCTTAATGTAAATATAGTCACAGTTAGCATAGACCCATCAGTATATTTTTGATAATTTTTCATGTATGGTAAAAGCTAAAGTTAACATATTCTGATATAAAACTCAAGTTTTGAGAGCCATTGTAAGAAAATGGGAAGTTTTTAGACTTTCTTAAAAGACTTTGTTAAAATTTTAGGACACATTTTTCTTGACATCATTGTTTAACCTAATTTTGCAGTGTTTGATAATAATGCTTTAGAAAATACATGAAATTCAGTGGGTAGACAATGCCTCTGTTAGCACAGACAGTTTGTCACAGCCGTGTGTGCAGCTGCTCTGACTCACACGAGTGGGTTTGCTCACTTCTCTCTGTCTCCCCATTTTTTTTTTGTTCATTTATAGCTAAAGTGACTTTTGTTATTAAAGTATATGCAAATATGGAATCTTGTGTACTTGGTGTCTATTTTTTCATTTTGTTCGTTTTGGGTAAAAGAATTGTTGTGTGACATGTGATACAAATTACAGAGACAAATTATAAGAGCCACATGTCATCATTTTGAATGAAAGAACAAGTATTATCAATCTAGCAAACTGATATTTTTCAGAATTATCTAAAAGAAAGATTTAAAATCTCATTTGTTTGTATCACATAAAGGGTTTGTCTCTGTAAGCAGGCTGTGTGAGCAGCAGTTAGGAGTGTGGTTCTGAAGTCAAAGCCTGTCTTTTCCCAGTTGTAGATGGAAATGAGAACAGTATCTGCTCTATAGTCCCGTTTTACACAGGTGCTCATTAGCACTGCAGGACAGCCCATGCCAGCAGCGGTTAGCCTGGCTCCCTGGCTGTCTGGGCCAGGTGCCCCTCCAGTCACCCCCTACTGTGTTCCACCAGGCACCTTCAACTAGAGGCTATTACAGCCACTGGCTTTTCACTTTCCTGTAAAAGTAGTAACAAACTACTCAGCGTAGTGGGGGGTGTGAGTCAGCAGTAGAGCATTTGCCTAGAATGTGTAAGGCCCTGGGTTACATCCTCAGTACCACACACACAAACACAAAATCAGTGTAATTTCATTTTAAAGGTAACTAAAAGGATAAATTTGAGTCAAGATGCAGAAACATGATTTTATATGACAGGCCTTTTAAAAATGTATACTGGGTAGTAAATTAATAATGCTCAATAAATTTCAATAATAATAAAAGTCAAGAAGGCGAGGCCTCGGCTTTGTTGTCGCCGCTGTCACAAGCAGTAGCATTCCAGTTGTCTTCACTAAACCCTCCTGTGGGCCTGCCTGATGAGTGTCCTCGGCAGGACTGCAGAAGTCATCGGCCTGAGAGTTACCGCCATCCTGGGGGAGAAGATTCACTGTTAATATAAGTAAGTGAGTGTCTTGGCATAGGAACGCTGCCGCCACATGGTGTTTCTCGGCAATCTATTTTCTCTCCAGAGATTTTCTGAAGGCTGCTCAGCTTGGTGTACACTGTGGCCAGAAAGAATCACTAAACGGAAAGCCGGTTCGCGCTGTCATTGAATACAGAGTTCTGCCCACAAAAAAGCAGAGTGAAGTCATCGAAACCCTACCAGAGGTTGAAGTATTAAAATTCTTTTATTTAAGCCAGGTGGTGATGGTGCTCACCTTTAATCCTGCCTCAGGAGGCAGAGGCAGGAGGATCTCTGTGAGTTTGAGGCCAACCTGGTCTACAGAGAGAGTTCTAGGGCAGCCAAAGCTACAGAGAGAAACTCTGCCTCAATAATAATAGTTATTATTATTTATTTGACTTCCTGAATTATTCTTTTAGCTTAAGAACAACTTTGTTAGCGTTTAGGAGAAACCATAGTACAGGTTAGGTGAAAACCCTGGCAGTGCCAGGAGAGGGAGAGAGAGAAAACTTTGCCTTTTAAGCTGGATGTGGACAGATGACTGAGGAAGGAAAAGGCACACCCAAGAGCACAAGTGGCCCAGAGAGCAGAGCAAGGAGCCAGCTTCCTGAATCCCGGAATTCTTAGAACTACACACTTTGGAAAACTGAACTGAGGGAACCAGACTTTTGAGTTAACTTACACAGTTTCCTCATGTTTTCCTCATTTCCTTAATTTAATGTTCTGCTACTATGATAAAACACTGTGACCATTGCAATTCATAAAGGAACGCATTTAACTTGGGTTATGGGTCCAAAGGGCTAAACTCCATGATAACAAAGCAAAGGAACAGCTGAGAGCTCATGCCTTGGTCCACAACTAAGATTTAGCAGAGAGAATGTTTGAATGTCTGGGAAATGCCAAAAGTCTGAAACCTTAAGCCTGCCCCAATGCCACACCTTTTCCAACAAGCGCACACCTCTTTATCCTTCCCAAACACTTGTGCCAGCTGGGGCCTGGGTGTTCAAACAGTGAGCGTGTAAGGGCCTTTCTCATTCAAATCACCATAACCATTGTAATTTCCATGCATTTCTTATATCCTAGAGACCTCAGAATTGTCTCATTTTTGTAATTACATTTTTGTAATTCTTGAAAATATGCAGGGCAGTAGTCCCATCATGGTGTTCCTCCTAAGGCTTTTTTCTGTGTGTACTGTACCGTCATGGCAAAGTCTGAGCTGCATTCATTTGATACGGTTGGTGCAGTTAGTTAGTGTCCACCCTTGATTGCAGTGTGCAGTGTGCAGGGTCATACTCCTCCAGCAGTCGTGCTGAGCGCTGGGGCAAACCTCCTGTGCCCTGGCTCTCGCTTCTGCTCCCCACCTCCTGACAGTGACGGCATGGCGTGCAATTCCAAGTCTTGACTTCACAACCTGTGACTGTTTCTTTTTGTTTGTTTGTTTCCTGGTGGTGGTTTTGGTTTGTGTTTGTTTTTTGAGATAGGATCTTATACTGTAACCCAGGCTGGCCTGGAATTTTCTATGTAGCCCAGGCTGTCCTTGAACCAATTCTCCCTCATCCATCTTTTGAATGCTAGGATTACAGGTGTGACGACTCTTTATTCCTTTTCTATGTCTTACTGGAATTTCTTTTTTCCAAATGAGAATAGTACATCCCGAATTCTAAGAAAGACTGTAATAAATCCACAAATAGTGTTGATGTACCAAGAAAAGTTATTGGATATAAATATCCTACCCTCCGTGTAATAGCTGCTCAGTTAATTCCAGAGTGTCCTGGAAGAGAATTGATCTTGAGTTGAGAACTCACTCTGCTTCTGTGAAACTCAAGGGCAAGTCGTTGGTTCCTCCAACTAAAGCCCAGAGCGCAAACCTTAAGGGGCATGGCTGCAATCAGATTTGATTACCATTTCCTGAGTCCTGATTGTGGGTCAAGCTTTGCTTTTGAGAATATAATCAGTAACCACGGGCCTCTGCTCTACAAGAGGGGTGGGAAGGGGGCATCAGCCTCAGTATATCCCAGCCTAGTGTGTGAGTTCCCGGGAAACACCATTTCCCTTGCTCTGCTGCAGACAACACGGAGTGGGCACAGGGTACTCTGTCCCGGGTAGCGCTTAACTCTTATTGTGATTGATACGTTGTTAATGTGATTCATTTCTGGTCCTTGCATTGCAGTTCCACAGGCTTGGCGCTGAGGCGGCCGGCCCATAAGTGTTTGCTGGTTGGGTGGATGAAAGATTCTGGCTTTGTTGACTTTATGAGTTCGGGCATCACGAATGAGAGACCGTGAAGCTCTAGGCCGTTTATCAGGCGTTCACAGCAGCGATGGAGCGTGGCAGGGAGGTCAGGCTTAAAAGTTTTAAACTGTTCTGAGAGTTTTGAATGACTCCATCTTACAGACGATAGCCTCTGGTACTGTTCTTTCTTAAGGGGCTGTGACTTTCTCCAAGGGGCAAAGCGATCAAACCGCCGGAGCTGGCTGAGACGGAAGCGCCAGGTGGCACTGGCCCACAGCAGTCCTGTTGTGACACGCTGATTCCCACGGGACAGCTACGCAGCCTGTACCCGGTAGTCTAATTGGCTGCGCTCCGGGGGTGGGGGCGTGGCTGCCTGCGCATCAGTTTCCTAAGCTCTGATTGGTTACCAGCCAAGGGCAAAGCGCAACCGCCCGTTTCCAGGGAGGAGAGGCCTGCGGAGCCGAGTGGGAACTCAGGACCCGGGGGTCCCCGCTGTCCTCTGTGCTTGCGCTGCCGCCCACAGGTGAGCCACCCCCTTTTCCTCCAGCACGGACTGAGCCCCGAGCCAGCTCACCGGGGTCAGGGTTAGCAGCTACCCACCGCGAACGTCCCCACCGACACTCCAACGGGGAGCACCGTGAGTTTCTCCAGAAGAAGGGAAGCTGCTCAGGCCCCTGTATCGGCCCAGGCAGTGCTAATTCCTCTGAGCAGTTTTGTAGCTGCGATTTTGCTTGCAGAAGTAGGATTTGCTTAAAATTTTAGATCAGAAATTAATTGATGTTATCGGGTGGACAGTTGAGAAATGCTACTGTGAAAGTTGCAAGCACACGGGAAGGTGCCTTGTTGGCAGTCTGTGAAGGGGCGGAGAGGTAACGTGGTGATGCGGAGGGTCTTCGCTTGTGGGATACTGGCGCAGAAACATGGATCGCCACAGCCGTCCTAGGTAGATCTGCAGTCCCTGGTGGCATAAAAGCCAACAAAGGGGACAAAGGGTTTCATCTAAAAGGTCAGAGAGAGACGTTTCCTTAAGAACGTGACACTTAGTTCTGGGAGTTAGCACAGTGAGTGTAGCCCAGAGCCTTTGAAGGCCGGGGTGGGAACAATTAGTGCCTCAGGACAGAAAGTGATTGTGGATTGGGAGAGTGGGAGGTGGGGATTCAGGTGGCACCAAAGCCCAAAGAATCTTTTCTACAAATGGCTGTGTGTCTGTCCTAAAGTGCCACTGAAAAGTCTGTTGCAGGGGGGTGACAGGGTCACAGCTGAGACGCTGTGGCCCAAGGTGAAGTAACTGAAGCTCTAGACAGGCACGGGCTCTTTGAGGACAGTGTAAGGTAAGAAGGAAAAGGATGCTTGCTTATTTGGTTTCTTCCTCCCCCCGACCCCACTGGAGAAACCTACCCGTTTTTTAATGTATTTTTAATTAAAATATAATATTATTTCCCCTTTCCTTTTTTTTCCCCCAACCCTTTGCCAAGCACACCTACACATTATTCCCTCAAATTCATGGTCTATGTTTCTTTAATTGTAATATATTTTTGTTTTTTGAGACAAGTTGTTACTTTGCAGCCTGGACTAACCTGAAAAACTCGAAGTAGAGCAGGCTTCCCGTGCTGGAGTTCAGACTACCAGACTACCAAGCCTAAAGATGAGGCTGTGGAGGGACAGGGGGAGGAGCCCTAGGAACACAGAGAGGTAGCTTGGAAGTCAGACAGAGAACATTTTGAAAAACAAGTGGTGGAATAATGCCAAAATCTACAAAGGTCTGGTTGCAGGGCAGCTGCCTTTATTGAGAGCCGTGTTATCAGAATAGGAAGGATCTGCAAGAATCAGCGAAGAGGATGGAACCAAGGGGATCATGGGAGGCATGGCGGTAGTAGTGTCAGAACTGCAGAAAAGAGAGGTGGAGAAGGGGAGGGTGCAGCTGAAGGGGTAAATGTGAGAGACCGCATTTGGATATTATAGTCTTTATTGCTCTTCATAGATGATATGTTGGGTGGGGAGGGTTGGCCTTTTTCAACGAGTTGATAAAGTACTTAGAGGCGGTGGGGAGGTGTGCGCCAGGGCGCATGTGTGGAGGTCGGAGCTCACCTTGCAGAAATCAGTTCTCTCCACCGTGTTCGCCTCTAAATTTAAAGTCAGGTCAGCGGCCTTGGTGACAAGCACCTTGGTAGTGGTATTTCATTTGTATTTTAGTAAATATAGCTTGCCCGAGGATCAGAAAAGTAAAACAGCTACACTGACCAGGCAGCAATGTCACACGCCTTTAATCCCAGCAGCCACACTAGCTTGTCATAGAAACCAGGTGGTAGTGGTGCACGCCCTTAATCCCAGAACTAGAAAGGAATATAAGATGGGAGGAGACAGCTCTCAGACACAGTCTCATTCTGAGATTCCTTTCAGACTGAGGTCGAGGTAAGAGCCAATGGCTGGCTGCTTTGCTTTTCTGGTCATCAGGTTGAACCCCAGTATCTGTCTCTGAGTTTTTAATTACTGTGCTTCACCTTTACTGCCAAGCCATCTTGCTGGCCTTTCTTTAGTTTTTTGTTGAGATACAAAGTCGTAGGATATGGGTAGAGTTCATCAGAAATCTGGCGAGGATTCCCTACTCCAGTTGCTGTTGAAAACATTTATGGGAGGAGCCAAGGTGTCCGCATTGTTGGAGTTCTAGGGCTGGAGGCTTGGGAAGAAAATACAGGATGTGGTGGACGCACAATAATAATAACATTTCCAAGTCATCCCAGAGCGATCTAGCAAGACCCCACCTCAAAAATAGCCAAGTAGTAAGTTATCTATAAATGGCAGGGTTGTAGGTTTTTTACCTGCGTATGTTCCTCAGAATTCAGCAGCTCTGCAGAGGGTGTATTATTAGTTTTGTGGAGTTATTTTGGAAAGTTGATATACTTAAACATTTCATTTACCCTTTGTAAATTGATCTTTCATCTTAAACTTGGGATTTGGGGTTTGTTTGTTTAGCAGAAGAAATTTTTGCTTTAATGCATGTGGGCTCTTACAGGAGAACAGCTTAGACTGGCTACTAATGATAGAGGCTCACTACTCATCAGTTCTGGAGGCTGTTGAGGCTAAAACCAAGGTGGCTGCAGACTCTGTCCAAGGACGGCCTGATCCTCACAGATGCCATATTTTGTGAGTCTCACAATGAGAACACAAGCAATCTTTTCAAAGCCTTTTTAAAGCATAGTTTTATTCTTTGAGAATTTCATACAGGCATACAGTATATTCTGGTCATATTCGCCCGACTCCTTACCCTAAAACTCATGTTCCAGACCCACCCCCTCCCAAATTCACACTGCAGTTCAGTTTAAAGTTGTATCACTACAAGACTTGGGCCTCCTGTAGTTCCCAGTGATAACTACCATTTATTAGATACTTACTCAGGGCCGTCTTCAGAGGACTTGAACCGTGCTTCGCTCTGACAGTGCCCTGTAAGGTGAGGGTCCTGTCCTGTTTCTAGTGCTCACCAACACGTTTCCCATGAGGTATTTTTGGAATTACTATGTTTAGTCTGAAGCTACCAAACTTCACGATCACTCCATAAATTCAATCCAGGGCTAGGCACAGGCAGTTCATCCACAGAGCCTTCGCCCCACCCCAGCATGAGGTCCGGATGAGAGGCCAGAACCTGTAGAGTAGCAACGGTGAAAACCCGGATGGGCTTGGAGCCCAGCATACTCACCGTCCCTTTCCTGTTAAAACTGACAGCTCTTACAGAAACTGTTTAAAGATAAACAACAAGCCACCACAGGCACCAACGGTGGCCTCCACTACCAACCAGCCTTCCGCACAAAGTAAGCCGTCAGCAGCCTGCACGGCAGGAGCGCTGCTGGTGGCAAGGACTGGAAATGGCCGTCTTTGCACCCTTTCAAGTCTACGAACACAAGGCGCTGCATCAGCCATACAGCTCTCTGGCAGGGCTGACACCCCAAGAACACTCTCAAATTTTACCAAACCCTAGGGCGTGCGCCTGTTACCAGAGACGACACAGTGGCGAAGGGGTCGGGATATTAGCACTTAACACCCTGACACATAGACTATTTTGAATTAAAGTCACTTGAAAATAGATGTTGGGTCATTCTGACTCTTCTGTCCAAGAGCAGGTGAAATTCTCATGGGAAGCCACCCCTGCTGTACTGAGGAGTAACACCCTTCTTAGACCAAGTCTTACGGAATACCTCAGCTCTGAAGCTCCTCACATGGTGGAGTTGCTCCTCACATCTTACTGTCTGCCCCCTTCCATGTAGCCTGTCCTGCTCTGGGTCCCGTCTTTGTATGGGCTTCCATGACATGTCCAACTTGTAGGAAATAAACTGGCATGCTCTCCCATTGACCATTAATGTTACTTTATTGCATGGGCCCAGCTAGGACTCTAGGATGGAAGTGGAGTATTGCAGCCCCTTACATGGGCAGGGACAGCAATGCTTCAGACGGTGTAGCCATCTCCTGATAGGAGAAGGCAAGGGCTACTTGGGTAGACATGAGGTCCTGCTCAGATCACCACGGTGTTCAGCTGGATTCAGCTAACTCACCCAGCCTTAGTAAGTTAGAGCCAGGTTCGGCATGGTTGGTGTAGCAAGAGGTGAAAGGGTCCCCGTCACACGGCTGACCTGATTTCCAGAGGTCTCTCTAAGGCTGTCATACAGCACTTCTCACTTGGCTTGGCTAAGATCAACTTTAATCCTGAATTTATTTTTTTTAAAAGTTGCATTTACATAGTTCTAATAAAAAATATGCATTTGTGAACTCATTTCAAATAAAACAAGGTCAGCTCATCAGCAAAAATACTTAAAATACAATGAAAGATGACATCTTCCCTTCCTAAGTGTCAACCCGAGCTAAACATCAACTTGAAAAGACAATTACCTGTGTAATATGAAGCACGATTAATAAAAACTCAAAGAGAGAAATTGGGCTTCAACCTGAAGATCCGGAAAGCAAAGCAGCCAGTCACTGGCTCTTACCTACACCTCAGTCCGAAATGGCAATCCTGCCTCTAGAATCTCAGAATGAGACTGTGTCTAAGAACTGTTTCCTCCTGTTTTATAATCCTCTCTAGGCCTGGGGTTAAAGGCATGTACTGTCTGGTTTCTATGACAACTAATGTGGCTACTGGGATTAAAGGTGTGTGTTACCACTGCCTGGTCTGCAAGGCTGACCAGTGAGGCTGTTTTACTTTCCCGATCCCCAAGCAAGCTTTATTTATTAAAATACAGTTGAAATGCCACTACAGTAATATGCCATCTAAAAAAGAAACATAACTGTTGTAGGAAAGGGGATTTGTGCCTGATCGATTGAGGCCTTTGAACCCCATGCCTTCCGACATGTAAATGAAGCCCCACCTTCACAGGATGGATGCAGAGCTCAGGCAGACAATGTTTATTCATAGAGGACAGGATGCCTTCAATTAGGAGATGGATTGGAATGGGGTAGTTTCCCCTGCTATCTTAAATCTTTCATTATTTCCAGTTACTGCTCAGAACTCAGGTTTCTGAGTACCTGTCCTAAAAGTCAGGTTCCTCTAAAACCTTCATCTTCCTTACAGGCACAATGTGGACATTCTCAGTTTAGAATGTGGGAATGAGCCAGGGTTTAAAGCATGTCGTGGAGAGTGCTGATGGGACCCCAGCTCTGCAGGCTGCGTCTTTACAGAACGCCGCCATCAGCTTTCAAAATCAGACCTTCGGTGTGTGCCACCTATGAAACTGACAGCCAGTCCAACAAAGAGAACACGAGAACAGTGGCTGGGCTCCGTGCATGTTCTGTGGACATCAGGAAGATCCGCAGACTGAAACCATGGGTGCTGCTAGAGGATGACACCCACGTTGAAGAGATCGCAGACATTCTGAAAGAACTAGGTGCCAGCAAGACTGTGGTAGCCAGTATCTTAGAGCGCTGTCCAGAAGCGATCGTCTGCAGCCCTGCTGCGGTGAAGGCCAAAAGGGAACTCTGGCAGATGGTCTGCAAAAGCGAAGCAGAGCTCATCCGGTTAATAGAGCATTTCCCAGAGCCTTTCTTTACTGTCAAGGACCAGGAGAACCAGAAGCTCAATGTTCAGTTCTTTCAAGAGCTGGGGCTCAAGAATGTGGTGATTAGCAGGCTTCTGACAACTGCCTCTAGCGTCTTCCATAATCCTGTGGCGAACAACAGGCAGATGATCGGGGTTCTCCAGGAGAGCTACCTAAACCTGGGTGGCTCTCCGGCCAATGCCAAAGTGTGGCTGCTGAAGTTACTAAGCCAAAATCCATTCATTGTGTTGAATTCTCCCACAGCTGTAGACCAAATACTAAAATTTCTTCAAGGGCAAGGTTTCACAGACTCTCAAGTTCTTCAGCTGCTGTCCAGACTGAAAGGGTTTCTTTTTCAACTGCAGCCAGGAAGCATCCAGAACAGTATTTCCTTTGCTCAGACGACTTTTGAGTGCACAGACCGTGACCTGCGGCAGTTAGTGGTGAACTGTCCTGTGCTGCTGTGTTACACTGCCCCTGTTCTAGAAGAGAGGATCCAGGTACTTCTGAAGGAAGGAATCTCCATGGCTCAGATAAGAGAGTCACCAATGGTCCTTGAGTTAACGCCACAGATAATCCAATACAGGATAAGAAAGCTGAACTCCTTGGGCTACAGAATAAAGGATGGGCATCTAGCAAGTCTAAATGGAACAAAAAAGGAGTTTGAGGCTAACTTTAGCAAAATGCAAGCCAAGCAAGGAAGGCCGCTATTTAACCCTGTGGCACCATTAAATGTGGACGAGTGACATGGAGCTTCTTTCTAGCAGGGAAAGTGACCGATTCACAAACAAGCAAGTCAGCTTGTAAGTACTAGGGAGTCTCAGGACCTACTGAGATTTGAATTGTGTTCAAATTACCTCACAACTGATGGCCTCTGACTCATCTGCTGTGTTTTAAAATATAAAATAAATATAAATTGTGTTTAAATAAAATCATTGACTTGACCTTGAACTATTACTCCAAAACATCACAAAGCTTGATAGTTCATACAGATTGTTTTGAAGGAACTGATAATTACACACTCTTGTTGGGAGTCCATGAACACTTTGGTCCCAGAGCTGCTAGCAAAGTGAAATTCCCCACCACCAGCCCTGAGTCACTAGCAGGCCAACAACACAGGCCTTCAGAGAGAACCAGCCTCACCTTGTGTTTGGAAGGAGTGTCTACAAGTGTTACTCATCCAAAGGGATGTAGTCAAGCACCTACTTCCACAAACACACACATCCGTTAGGAACCTAACGATAAGTCCAGATGTATTAAGATCTGAATTCTGTCCAGCCTCAGGAATAGGAAAGATTTCCACCTTTCCCTGCACAGTAAAAGGAAGGACTATGGGGGAGGGGTATGGAAACGGTCATTTCAAACTCCATTCGCATGTGAAGTGAATGTAGCTTCCTAGAAAGCATGGAAATCTACTTCACGTGGTACCACTTCCAGCGGTAGTGTTCCACTTCTGTTTCTAAGTCCTGTCCCAAGATAAACATGGCCCAGATAAAGACTGGCTCGCTTTCAGCTGTACCGCTTGTAACAACTGTAATACTTGTTGGCTGTAATACACGGCCAGCTGACTATGGAGTGTGCACAGCTTCTGAAACATACTAAGAATGCAGCCGGTATCCTTTTTTTATTCTCTTAGCAAATGAAGTATCTCTCTCTCACTATCCACATCTGCTCCACTTCTCAGCTGAGAAACTGAGCAGCCACAAGTGCTCAGGTGGCTAAGAATACTCACTGTTCACAGTGAGACTCAGTGTAAGGCATTACCCGGGGCACTCAGGACTGTCAAGAAAAATGTTAAGGCCAGAGACAGCTTGGTGTCAGAGTGGATGCTTCACCTCAGATTCAATCACAAGTGTGTAATGGAATATATGCATGGAAGAGCGTGCACGCTTCTTTCATAGCACCAATGAGCAGCACCACTGCTCCATCTACAGAGCAGGAGTTCATTCTGAGTGTGGTGGGAACCTCCAGAGCTCCACCCGGGCAGTGAGCAGTAATGCATGCACTCGCCGCTCCCTCAGAGCAGGTCTGGAATATGGTACAGGCTGTGGCCTTCTACAGTTACCTGTCAACTGTGCGGTGGTTGGTAACAGGCAAATGACCAAGTGCAGAGCAGCGAGGAGCCAGCAGAGAGTCACTGGTTGACTGCATCAGGAGTGGCTGGAGTAGGGAAGTGAGGCAGCTGTGTGGGGTGAGCTGTGTGGAGTGGGGCTGCGTGGGGTGGGGCTGCGTGGTGTGGGGCTGCGTGGAGTGGGCTGTGTAGTGTGGGGCTGCGTGGAGTG